GGCTGGGGATTCGAACCTGCCACCTTAGGTGTACATGGCTGGCGCCTTAGCCGGTTGAGCTATAGGCGCCGAGCCAGTGTACTGAATTATAATCAAAATCTTTAAATAGCACTGAAACCTATAAATATAAATAAAAAATTTTCACTTTCAAGGTTTTGGAGTTGTTAATTTAATTAAATATTTCCTTTAAATAGGATCAACAATACATCCATTGTTACACATACAGAGTACCTAAAAATTTTATTTGCATTTAGGAGGCATATAAATTGTTATAGTTTATGATTTTTAGATGTTTGTCTAATCCTAACTTCAATAGTCATAAAATTGTTTTAATGTATTTAACTTACCTACATGATAAAAGTTAAAATACTAGATAGAAAAATGCAAGGAGAAAAAAAAAAGCTCTCTCTGCAGTTAATTTATATTTTTTAAGTGGTGGCACTGCTGATAAACTCTTAACCAGGCTTTATACACATGGGAAGCAAGACAAAGATGAGATCCTTATGTAGTTGAAAGATCAACGTATTGCTTAGATCATTTTAAAGAGCAGTACAGATTGAGACTGTATTTTTTATTGAGCTTTAATTTTTGATCTAGTGTTCACATTCTCTTGGTAACAAGAATATGCCACTCATAGTTATAATCAGTTAATGCTTCTGTAAAAATTGAATGTTTAAAAAATCAGAAAAAAAGCCCAGGCTGTGTGACCTCTTCATTGCTCCCATAAAAATTAAAGGATGTGATTGTGTCTGAGCCCCTTTGAAGGTTTGGGCAAAGGAACAATGGAATATTTAATGAGACTTAGCAATCCAGCGCAGTTGGTCTCAGACTCTGGGGTATGTTGTAGGCATTATTGATGTGGCTTCTGTGCAAAGTATAGATATAGAATGTTAATTTGACTTTTATCCAAAAGTGAATGAAAGAGACTTAATAATCATTTCATTAGCATGTAAAGAAGAGCACTAATATTGCCAAAAGGAAAAATAAAAACATATAAGTGCTATATAAATTTACATATATATCACACAATGTTGTCGTAATTTAAATTTGTGTGTATGACTTTTTTTTCCTTAAACCATACTTACCTAACTTGAAGGCGTAGACCGTAGCCAAGCAGAAACTCACCAATTCATGCTTTCTTTAAAGATACTAATCTCATCCCTGATAGAGAAAAACAAACAACTTGTATTAAAAATAGAAATGTGATTGGCCTGCTTGGAAAAAGTCTACTAGGGTAACAGTGACTAGATTCAACATGCAAGCACCATCATGATGAATGTTTACAACACTTTTTCGAGTGCCAATTATAGTGTTTTTTTGTTCAGGGACTGGAGATCAGCCAGATCACTTGTATGCACAAAGCCGCTTTAGATCTGCCTTTTCAAACAAGGGCTGCAGCAGACTCTATAGCAAGGTTGAAGCTTTATCCTACTCTGGTAAGAGAAGCTTTCTTTTTCTTTGCTATGGTGAGAGTTTGATAAGAAATCCTTTTCAACCATAATGTGGTTAGGGAGAGGAGAAGCTATTCTGTCTTATAGTACATAAAATGTTTTTCCTTTGTATTTTTTTTTAACAATGCCTTCTGCCTTTATGTTATAGCAAAATAAAACTGAAACACGAAGTCATACTGCACGTGTTAAATTTGTATTGGAGTTAGGGGAGTTTTAAACTACTTGTGTATTGAATGAGATGTGGGGTTATTTTATTTTTATCCTGTACATCTTCTGGTCAGGATGGAGGGAAAATAATTAGTATTCAGATAGCATGGCTAAGAGTGAGTCCATATGTTTAATTTTTCCCCTGACCAATGGTATTATTAATGCCAAGCATCTCACCAGCACCAAATTTGGCCTTTGGATTTACTTACACACTTGAGTCTAATCTCTTTTCCCCCGAATTAGAAGAACTGGAGATAAGAATTCTAGCTGAGTTTGCTTGGATATGATTTTGTCACTTTAGCTCCAGTATAAATAATATAAGTGTACATGTATATACAAAGTACAAGATTTTGGTTTTCACATACATTTTCCAGCCTGTAATGTATATGTGTGATATTTCTATGAAAATTTCTACTTGTTATAAAATCTACCTTTGAAAAAGATAGTTGTGACTATACACACATATACACATACACCTGTATGTATAAGTATATACAAACAATTTGATATGTGCACAATTAATTTTGATAATAAATTTGCATATTAATTTACATATCAATCAATGTAATCCCCATGGAAATGGATAGTTTATACTCTCATTTATATGATTCTTCATTTCTTACATTAAAACAGGGATACAAGTATCAGAAAGACTTTACAACCAAATAGCTGCATTTGAAGATAAATATATTTTTAGAGTGAACTTATATGAGGCAATTTTGGGGTTTTTAGTTGCTCAGTTATATTAATGATTTCACTCATGTATTTATGAGATTTGAATATAATCCTTATCAGGAGTTTATTGCAGAGTGGCATTACCAGCTTGAAAGATACAGGCAACTCATAATATCTGCCTATTAGGATGCTAATAAATATGCATGTTCATCTGATTATTTCAAAAAGTATTTATGAATTGCTTACTTTGCCAAATACTTCAAGGAGAGGAAATATGTAGCTTATAAAAGAATTGGAACATATAATCCTGCACAGATTTAATAAGGATTTAAGAAATATGTTTTTGAAAAAAATATTTACAGTGATGGTTTGGCTAAGAACAAATGGGAATAATTTAGTGATAACAGTGGCTGCATTGAGAAATAATTTTTCAGATTTAAGAAATAATTCTACCCTTTAAAACGTAAGCTTACAGAACTCCTGTGATGCCTTTTTTTCCTTTGTCTGCTCTCGTTTAAATTATCTGTACATTTAATGCAGCCCATGTTAAGTCTTAATGTGTGTCCAAGTGTTGAAAATAACTCTGAGATTCTGTTCTAAATTAAAGCTGAGACCAAAACCCAAAAATCATTAATAGTATTGCCATAAATCTATGTAGTGAAAAATAATATTTTCTTTAGTGTTCTATGTTTCTTGACCTCTTAAAGACTGTTGCCACAGACTCGTGCAAAAGGGAACATTAACCACATAAGTATCAATTCTCTTAGTTTCTATTTTTTCCACTTTTGAAGTGAACTTCAAGGTATGATAACTTCTCAGTTCAATTCTACTAAACATTGCAAGAAGACCAAACAGAAATCCTCCTAATACTATTCCAAATAATCAAAAGGAAGTACTTCCAAAACGTTTTTAGGAGGCCAGCATTATCTTGATGTCAGAACCAGAAAAGAACATTGCAAGAAAGGAAAATTGCGGGGCAATATCCTTGATGGATATAGATGCAAAAATCTTCAACAAAATACTAGCAAGCTGAATTCAATGATACATAAATAGGTTCATCCACCATGATTGTCTGGGAGGAGATTTATTCCTGGGCTGCAAAGATGATTCAATATATGCAAATCAACAAATGTGATCTATCATTTTAATAGAAAGAATAACAAAAAAACATTTTATCATTTCATTAGATGCAGGAAAAAACATTTGACTAAATTCAAAAAAATCTGTATCTAAATTAGATATAGAAGAATACCTCAATACAATAAAGGTAATATATGAAAAGCCCACCATAATGAAGGGTGAAAGGCAGTAGCTTTTTCTCTAGAATCTGGCACAAGGTAAGGATTACTACTCTCGTCACTTCTATTCAGCATAGTATTGGAAGTTCATGACAGAACCATTGGAAAAGATAAATAAATAAAAGGCATCTAAACTAGGAAAGAGGTATAAGTAAAATAATCAGTATTCTCTGATGACATGAGCTTATATGTAGAAAATTGTATAGTCTTCTCCAGAAAAGCTGTTAGAAATAAAAAACAGGTAAAATAGATTGTAGAATGCAAAACACAGAAATATCAATGACATTACTATACATTAAGGAAAAACAATCCTAAAAAGACATCAAGAAAATAATCCTATTTATAATAGTTACAAAAAAAACCTAAGGATTAAATTTAGTCAAAGAAACTACAAACCTGTACATTGAAAACTATAATACGTTTTCAATGAAATATGTTTTCAATGAAAACTATAATACGTTTTGAATGAAACTGTTCATGAAGAAACTGAAGAAGATGTAAATAAATGGTAAGATATTCCATGTTGATAGATGGAAATAATTAACATTGTTAAATATTCACTACCCATGGACATACATATATACATACAGATTCAATACAATGCCTATCAAAATCCCAATGTCATGTTTAATAGAAATAAAAAAACTGAAGACTCATATAAAATCATACAAAATCCAAATAGTCAAAAGACGATCATGACAGATATAGAAGAAGGCTGAAGGTACCACACAACCTGATTAAAACTATACTGTAAAACTATAGTCAGTCAAAAACATGGCATTGGTGAAAAATAAGACACATCAACAAACGCAATAGAATATAGAACTCAGAAATAAATTCGTGTACTTAGACAAGTAAATTTGTTTTTGACAAAAATGCCAATATGCCATGGGAAAAAGCTAGTTTCTTCAGTAAGTGGTTTTGGGAATGAAATTGGATGTTTACATGCAGATGAAAAAAAGGACCTCATATATTAATATATAAGGAACTCAAGCAACTCAATAACAGGAAAACAAGAAAACCAATTTTAAAACGCACAAGGTCCCTGCATACACAATTTTCAAAAGAAGACATGCAAATGTTCAACAGATAAATGAAAATATGTGGAACATTGCTAATCATTAGGGAAATCCAAATTAACACCACAATGCGGTATCTCACACTTGTCAGAATGGCCATGATCAATGGCCATGATAAAATGTCACACATGTTGGTGAGGATGTGGAGAAGTAGGAAACCTTGTACACTGTTGATGGAGATGGAAATTAGCTTATCCTTTATGGAAAACTTTATGGAGATACCTAAAACAGAACAAATTAAAACCAAGCCAATAAAAAAATCTTCTCATTTGTGATAACATGGATGGAATTGGAGGATATTATGCCAAGTGAAATAAGCCAGGGGTAGAAAGACAAGTATCACATATGCAGAATTGAAAACAATTCAACTCACAGAAGTAGTGATTAGTATGATAGAGAGAGAGGCTTAGGATAGTGGGAATAAGAAGAGGATGGTTAAAGGGTATGAAATCTCAGAGAGGAAGAATCTGTTGTTGTTTTTCTTTTTCTTTTTTTCTTGTTTTAGTCCTATTGCATTGTGAACACAGTTAACAACAGAGTATTGCACATTTCAAAACTGCTCCGAGAGTAAAAGTCTAATGTCCACACCATAAAAAACAAATATTTGAGTTGATGTGTATGTTAACTAGCTTGATTTAATTTTTCTCAGTATGGCCATAAATCAGACCATTACTTTGTATGTATAAAATGATGCAATTATAAAGGATAAATTTACACTATTAAAATTAATTAAGATAATAAATTCTAACATACAACACCAAAGGCACAGTCCATCAGGAAAAATAAATTGATAATCTGTACTTAATTAAAATTAATAATATCAGCTCCATGAAAGACAATAGCCAGAAAATGCAAAGACACAACACAGAATAAGAGAAAATATTTACAAAAGTCATAGGTGATTAAGGACTGCTATTCAAAATCTATGAAGATCTCTTAAAACTCAATAATAAAGTGAGCAACTGGATTTCTAAATAGGACAAGGAAAGATTTTAATCACCCATCAAAGAAGATATAAAGATAACAAATAAGCATGTTGAAAAGATGGTTCACTTAGTCATTAAGTATTGTAAATTAAAAATACAATGAGATACCACTGCACACCCATTAGAATGGTTGAAACGCAGAATACTGACAACACCCAGTGCAGGTGATGGTACAAGAACTCTCGTTCATTACTGATGGGAATACAAAATAGTATGGCCACTTTGGAATACAGTTTGGCAGTTTCTTACAGAAATAAATATACTTTCCCCATATGATCCAATAATCACATTCCCTGATGATTTCCCAAAGGAACGGAACACTATGGGAAATCAAAAACCTACACATAGCATCTTTATTTGTAATTGTCAGAATTGGAAAGCAGGTAACACATTTCTAAGTGGTGAATAGATAAGTACACTCTGGTACATTCAGACAATGGAATGTTAGTGCTAAAAATGAGCTATTCAGTCATGAAAAGACATAACAGAAATTTTAGTACCAATCACTCAGTGAAAGAAAGGAATTTGAAAAGGTTTCATACTGCATTGTTCCACCTATGTGACATTCTAGAAAAGGCAAAACTCTGCAGATGGTAAAATGATAAGTGGATGTCAGGGGATAGAGGGGAAGGGAATGAATGGGCAGAGCACAGATGGTTTTTAGGGTAGAAAATTGTTCTGTATGATACTCTTATGCTGGACACATGTCAATGTATACATTTGTCAAGACCCATGGAATG